TTTAGTTTGTGCATTTATTTTTTGAATTTTCATACCGAACATGCATACAACGAAATCGTCTTTATAACACATTTTTTCGAGAATTTGTCGATTTTGTTATGTCCAGGTTTAAATGTATTTGCAAACACCAACTATCCCAAGATCAAGTCCTGCCTAACTTCAAGGATAAACGGACCCTCATATCGATTCATTATTTTTTAGGTTTAAGAACTTTTAAAAGCTTGTTATACACTCTGTGCACAGCAACTGGCATGCCACCTCGCCGCTGTCATAGCATACAGCCGTTAAAAGCCTGAGCAGAACCAGACACTCTCCCAATGCCCGCTAGCACATATAGTTTATTGAAATCATGAACTGTTGCGTAGTATATTGCACCGAAGGTGCACGCCGTGTCCTGTGGGAACGATGTTTTACAGCTAGTTGACTTCGAATAACGCGTTCGATGCTCTCACCACTGAGCTATCACGGCGGCCACAGCTACTTCACTTGTCCCTGCTTTACTGGCCAGCGAAATAAGTGGCTAACAGTTGTGAGACGTAAAAATTGCTTGGTTCCCGCTTCCTGTGCTGCCTCTCGTTCTGCTGCTGCATGCTTGAATTGGTCATGGACACAACCTCTGCAGGTGCAATGATATTTCGTGATGCTCCTGTTGACTTAGAGCTCATGAGAAAAGAAAGTTATACTAGGTATTTTAATTCAGCTCATGGCTGATAGAATGCTTTATGTTGGTCCTTAATAATTATTAACTTGCCATATACCCTTCGCAGTTTTGGGGAGTGCAATGCTAGGACCATCGGTCAAGAGGCGAACTGAGTTACGTAGCGTATCACCGTAAACACAACAAGCTGCCCAGCAGCACTATGCGAACGCGATAAGATCAAGCTAAAACTTTGCTGGGTTGGTTTACCCTTATTGAACTGGCGCCCCACCACAAGAAATTGGCCATGAAATTGGTGGTGCTTTGTTATATAAAGAAATTTGTTGCTAATCTCAAAATGCTTAGCAATAAATCGTTTTCTTAACAAGTAATTAGCTTAATTCACGAAAAAATTCAGTAAAATTGTTGAAGAATAAGCTTTATTTGGATAACCTTAGCATTCAATCCGTCTCCTCTCGCATAGGAAATTCTATTCTTTATTGCAAATGCTCCATTGGCTAAAACCTGGTGCTGTAGCCCCAAACGAAAGAACCCCTGGAAGTGAGAAATTGAATCCCATCCTTCTGAGTGGTTCATCCAAAAGCCCTCTTCTTTGATGGGTAATTAAACAATCTGCATGCTAGGAAGAAATGATGCAGGGCGTGTACTAAAAGGACTGCAGGGTAAAAAAACTAAGCTTTGCCAATGCTGTAGCAACAGATATGTGTTTCGCAAAGCGACATAAACCACGAAAGAGGTTGTAGTGAATGAGAGAGACATCACAATGGCCGTCATGACAGTGGCCACAGTGATCATTATTTCACAAGGTGAAGCAAAAGAGGAAAGAGGGCTGCGGTGTCATCTCTCTCATCGAAATCGTCGTGCGTTCTCTTTCTCGCCCGCGCTTCAAGCTTTTAGCATATTTGCACGAGCCGGGAAGTAAAGACCATGATCATGATGAGCTAGGATGATGTCGCCACAATTTCATGCAAAACAATTTGCAAGACTCTGTTGCTGGAAATTGCCATTGCACGAAGCCGCAACAAACGAGCACTTCGCCGGCCACTCACCATAATTTCCACGATGAATGGTCATGGAGCCACCAATATTTATAAATGCTCTGAGTATTTTGCAAGTACGCGGGTACTGGAAACGCAGCAATAATATTTCAAGTGTGAAAAAAATCACAGCTTACTGCGACAGTTATGAAGCAGGCATCTAGCATTACATACGCCTGCCCGATGCAGTTGCTGTCACTATACTGACAGCGGGCAGCAAAGGTGCTCACTAACGTGGGAAACATAGCCGCTTTCGTGCAGGTTTTCCCATTTATTCATAGTGGCATTGCAGAAGAATATCTTCCTTCTCGAAGAACTAATGCGCCAGCCACGGGCACTTTTGCCGCTATAGCTGTGAAAGCAATGAGGAGCTGTTGTCTGCTATACGATTCTCAATGTTGCGAACCTGCCACACCACGAGTGGCACTGCTCGCAGCTTTCAGTGCGCTCCCTATAGTTTTTAAGCGGAGTGTATACCTGTTTATATGTTTTAAGTTGGCCTATAGTAAATTTTAAATGTAACATATTTTATAGGTGATCACTTGCATTCTACCAGGAGTCATATCTTACTGCTATTCAAAGTTGCTTCCACATCCCTTGAACAAAAAAAGGGGGGGGGGGGACATTTTCACATGTGATGTTTCAATTAGAAAATAAAATAAATATTCTGCAGGTTAATTTTGTCATGACAAATATACTCATTTTTTAAAAATGATATGTGATATATAGTGTTCGAGCTCGATTTAAAATTATTAGACAATATTGCTATTTGCTTCGATTCTAAAATTTACTATTCGCATAAGTCTATTTAAGATACATTGTAAACATTTCAGGCTGACCAGGAATTTAAATATGCTTCAATCAACTGAAAGTTTCACTTATCAGATTATGTTTTGAACTCATGCGAGCACCAGCAATAATGATGGAATGAGGGAAATATGATGCATATCTAAAAGTGAGAAAAAAACCTCTGAGTGATCAGATTCTCAATGACTGATGACTGTGCATTCCATTGTTATTTTACAGTGAATGTTGCTTTGCTTGGCACAGGATAATAAAATTCAAGATATAATTTTTACTTGTTTAATAGCTGCATTCTTCGTCAGAACCATGTGACGACATATTCGGTAAAAGCATACCTACGTTCATTTGCAGTTAAGGGGAGATGTGAGTCGAAAAACGCAAGCTTTTTGCAAAATTACCTATTTTTTGTTTTTATTTGCATCCACAAGTTTAGTTTCTCTACTTTCACAAAAAAAATTAAGGTAGTCATTAAAGTCAAAGGAGCTTAAAATCGCTTTTAAAAAGCACATGGTGGCTACTGAAAACTGAAAAGAGCTCATTGTCTAGAGTGCCCCAAAAATTGTCACATGGCTGCTTGCCATTGCATTTCACACGAGGAGTTCACCAAAACCACCAGCTCAAAATAACAATAGTAATTGTCAAGCTGTCATAATGGAAGAAATTATTTTAAAAAACACATCTTTTCTACATAGAGAAACTTCGACTTATATACCTTTAAAATGTATTTTTCTCAAGGTACACTTTCGGGCAACTTTTTAATTTTAGACATTATGTTTTTGGTACTTCTAATAACCAGATGGGGATGAAATATTGCCCACATATTCTTTAATATACAAAAGGCTAAAGTATCTCTTTTAAAACTCAATATTGCCTGTATAAATATTACAAACCTGAAGTAAGCAGCTGGTATGGCTGAGGATTTCAAGAATTTTCACATTACAATTTTTTTCTGTCCACTAAAATGTCTTATATGCACTCTTGATAATTATTTGCATTATGAAATTAATATTGAGCAACATGAACCATTATTGGCTCAAAAGCATAAATGTTTAGTAGCATGAAACGTTCGTCCAAAACGAACTATATTTTACACATTGTCATGGCATAAAACGAAAACTGTGCTAATTATTATAAAACCAATTACATATTTGAAATCATCATAAAAGCCTATAAGTGCAAGCATTTCGTTAATATAGGCTACAAAATAATGGAAGTTTTTTTTTTAATCGGATCTCCCCTTAAAGTATAGCACAAACACACAAACATTCTAAGAAGATGTTACAAAACTATGTGGAATATGTAACAGAGTGTGCCTTCACACCAATTTGGTTTCCTTGTTTCATTTTATTATATATGTGCCATGCCTCACTTGTATAATTCTTTCTGACCTGCTTCAGTATTCCTGTATGCTCTACACATGAGTACTGTAGGCTCTCAGTAAATGGAACCTGAAGGGACCGGAAAAATATGTTCCTTTTTAGGGGCGAAGCTCCTTAGGGCGTGGGCTGTGCGTCCCCTGTAGCCTGTATGTAGCCACCTCTAGTTTAGTTCTTGCAGTGTTCACTAGATGGCGGTACCGTCCCCTGTATGTAGCCACCTCTAGTTTAGTTCTTGCAGTGTTCACTAGATGGCGGTACCGTCTCCTGTATGTAGCCACTTCTCGTTTAGTTCTTGTAGTGTTTACTAGATGGTGGTACTTGTAGCTGATTATGAAAAGATGCAAGATGTTATAAACTAGAAAGCGGTACTTGTAGTTGATGAAAGACGCGAGATCTTATAAAATAGGAATGATGTCACATATGGCGCGTGTCATTGGTTGAAGGCAATCGTTCGATTTAGTGCGGCGACGTACGCTAGGGGGAGCGATGTAATAAAATCGAGTGGGCAAAATGTACAGAGGATTCATGGTTTACCAGGTTTACCTCCGGAGCTTCGCCCACTCATCATCATTCACTTCGTGGATATGGCGGAATTTTTTAACAGGATTTCCGTTTACTGAGAGGTGAACATGGGTGCAGAATGCAAGCCCGAAACCAAGCATTGCAGAGGCAATAGTTCCGTTCAAGCAGTAGTTTCGTTTAAGAGATTTTCATTTACTGAGAGTCTACTGTATAAATGAAAGTCAGCATTTTACATGTGACAAATTATTATACTTAAGTTTATAAAGATATTCTACCTGTACATTCTTTACAAAGTTTTCTGCTACAAGTTTGCATCAGTTCACAAAGTTTGGCCATGAAGTGTTGTCTACAAGCCCACCAGGTAGTTTTTTGTGGATTGACTTGTTGGCAATATATGTATATCTTTGTGGCAACATATTTGGGGCAGCTTAATAAAAATGCATGGCAAGACATACTCACAATTCATTTTTTCTTCACACAAAGAAAAGAAGGGAGAGGCTGTTATGGCTTGGTGTGAATGTGTACTTTCTTGAATTCATGCTGTTCTGGTGGAACTTTTGGGGGCAATAAAATGGTGTGCCATGCAAAAATTTCTCGCAGATCGTTCCCAAGAATGGAACCAAGGTGGGTGCGTACCTGCGAAACATGAGCCCGCATTTCCGGCCGGAGTGCACCATGGAGGGGCTGATGCCGGTGCGCATGCTGACTGAGATCGGTCTCCAGAAACTCCAGCGAGACTTTGTCAATATTTTTGTTGGTCAGTTGTTTTCTCTTTCTCTCTTTCACAAAACCACTCTTTAGTGGTGGTCCATTTGTGCAGGGATGGAAGCGCTGCACCAATTGCGCCACTCTGCGCCTAAACGGCAATTTGCACGTTAACCTAAAATTTCATCGAGCGAGCAACACGCGTGGGGGACACAAAGGACATAACCGCTCCGTATAAAATTAGTTTGGTCATGTAACATTTCGTCTTTTGCATTAATCTTGCTTCACGGGAATAGAATGGATTAATATTGTTATGGTGGCATTTATGGGCATACGTGATTGTGCGACTACGCATATGTTTATATCGCCAAGCTGTTTGTGAACTCTACAGACGGCAGTGCTGTTGTAAATAACTCGCAGCACTGTTGCCGAGCAACCACCGAGCACAGAACACGTTCTGCGATGGAGATCGTCGAACCATATAAACTGGAAAAAAAATAAATAAAATCAGTTTTACCGGCCGAGCGATGATTGCAATAGCAACAATTTGTATGCTCTGATGGTAATGCCGTCCGCGCTCCTTTCTTTTTTTTTTAAGGTGCGAAGCAGCTCTTTGACTAGCCTGTGTAACATAGTGTAACGCTCTCTTTTCGTCCGCACCACTCCTAGCGCTGCAGGTGTTGGCAGGCCTTTCTAGCAGTTCGTGGGGACGTCTCTCTCCCTTGACTTCCGCGCACTCGCCGCATGTCAGTTCTCTCTCACTTCACCCTCTCCATCTCTGGCAATGCTCGAGCCCACTCCTCACGTGGGCATCATCTCACCAGTGCACCTCTCTCCATATGTCGGCGAGAAGAAGCCGCAAGCCAGCGGGAGCGTGCACTGTGCACGCCTTGAAAATCTCGCGGTGCCGACAATTTGGACAGCGCTCCGCTGCTTCCCATGCGATCGCGCCGACAGGCGGGACGTTGTCGCAGCATGCCTCCCGCTAGTGTGCGTGTACCTTTTCCGGCTATCGCTGGCATTGTGAGGGTTAGTGAAGACGATCGCATTTCGAATGGCGACGTCAACACCGACAAGGCGCGAGCCAGGGAAGCTGTACGCAAGCGTTGGCAGTGGAAGACCAGTGACACTGACGAGGTGCGAGTCAAGAACACCGATCGCGTTCGAGAATACAGACGGCGCACGGTAACACTGACGAGACGCGAGCCAAGGAAGCCGAGCACAAGAGTCTTCGACTCGTCCCACCTCTCGTGTTTTTGCATTTCAAACAAATGTTTACTCAAGTAAATGCTACACCGAGTTTCACTTCAAACCATTCTTCCAGCACCTGCGTCGACGTCCATTTCAACCGGGTCAACGCCGTGTGCACCACTGCTGCTTCGCATCCCATCAGGCTTCTCTTCAAGGAGAGGGTTCTTAGTTTTTGTTACGGCACCATTTCGTGTCGAACACTGTCTTGCGCAAACCATGCCAGCATGACTGGGAACCATATGGATAATCCTAAAACCTTCCAATGAGATTACGTGCACAACGCCTACATTGAAGTTTCTTCTGGAACTTATGTGGCCACTAGCGAGAATGCTTGAATCTTCGATGAAACATATGTAAATGCTGATGCACTTCGCTGCTTGGCAGATTATCGACTGCCAACACTTTATGTTCGCTGCTATCGGTGCATTGCTTGCAAAGTGGCGTTTCGCTTTCTGGGGGCAAGTTCACCCAAATTAAAAGTCAACTCCATACTTTAAAGTTTTTTCATTTATTCATGAAAATATCGGCTGCTGCCTTCATCAATGTCACGGCCCCGTAAAAATACGAAAGCTGACAGTGAATTCTTTTGGATCCGACATCGCGACACACACTACAAAGTGCAGGTGTAAGAGAATAAGTACGGTTTGCAAGCCGTGCTCTGATGCACGCCAGCTGTCCCAACCACGCCCTTGGAATCAAAGTTCACAGTTACTACTCTAGTGACCCCCCTTCTCTCTCCTGCGTCTTTTATGATTGTGCGAGATGGGCGGTGTGTTTTCGCTCTGCTTGAGCATTTGACAGCTGGTCGAACACGCGATGGGATGCTATCACGTGCGCCCTGCGAGTGATGGAGATCGGCCGCTTCGTTTAATCTCTGCTTGAGCATTGCTCAGCACCCCAGCTTGCACAATTTTACTTGCAGGTAGAATCTATGATGCGCAGGGAATGTTACCAACTTGTAGTTTAGGCAAAACATGGCGACGACGGTGAAAACTCGTCGAATGACAATATAATTCCTATCGTAATAAAAAATTTTTGACTTCACAGCTTATCAATGGCACGGCGAGAGAATCTAAAATTCCTCGCGGTTCTCATGTTGGCTGTAGCACTTCAAAAACTGCAACGTGAGTTTTTCACATTAATCTTTAAAAGAGCCATGTTGTTTTATTACGAAGATCACTTTTATTATATTAGCTCATCTCTAATCTTGAGTTGCTGTTCATGATGGATGCAATGTTTGGATAGTATTTTGATCATTGCAATATTTTAACTTTGTATCTTTTTCATTTGTCTGAGATCTACTAGCTGTCCAGGGTGCCATTTATGTTTTTTTCTTTGAGTTGCTATGCTTTCTGCTGTGATGTAGGTTTTATTACATATTATTTTGGGTGATTCTGGTTGCTTCATTAGCATTGCATGCTTAAAAAAAAGCTCTGCAATTGTTTCTGTTTACCAAAAAGCAAAAATTATAAGTGACAGTGGTGTGTGACCCAAGCAATCTGATTCAAAACTAAATTTATATGCTCCAAAACACATCTTTTGGTGCACCAGAGCTGCTCCAAAGCTCTCTTTTTACTGCTCTAAACCTGCTCCAAAACCGCATTATTCCCGGTCCCAAAGCTGCTCCGAAACACTGCGGCCCACTCCCACCCCTGTTTGTGCCATTTTGCTATGATACTATTTCCCTGCACATTGCTGGGCCAGCTGTGCCAAAATTCACTATTCTGCTTTCCTAAACGGCAGGGGAGTGCATCTGGCTCGAAATGCCTTTGTTCTTCCACCGCACACAGCTTTTACACGCTGCCGCGCAAGCCTCTTCCCCTCTCCCACTTGGCATCCATATGCTTTTCCTCATCTGCCTAATCATAGTCTGTGCATGTGATCTAGATTATGAACTGTACGGTATGGTGTCAGTAGTCTGAAAGCTTATTGGTCTTGATGTGGCACTTGGGATAATATGTGGACAAGTTATCTTATGTTTTATTTTTTAATCAGTGAAGCTGTTAGAGCTCGAAGTAACACGTGCATTTCACTGCAAAAAACTCACCGTGCCATTGCCTCGAACAACCATGTCACAGCTACGCACCACCTGGGTTTCAAGCTCTCCTAGCCACGCATACGCCAAGGACTGGCGTGGAAGTGCTGCGCCAATTGCGCCATTGTGCGCTAATATGACCTGCAGCACCAGGCTGCGCTTAAATGGTCATTTCCGGGATAAATGTCTGTTGGAAATTCCCACTGCCAATTTAGCCAAATATTACCATCGACCAAACAACACTGAGCATTGGACACACAAACGGTGCGGTCGCATCCGTATCCAATGTAGTTCGATCGCATGTTCGATAATGATACGTAATTCACTCCATTGATGGGGCTTTATAGTGCTTGTCTTATTGCTGTTATCACCATGGTTTCCTTGCAAAAGTGGTGGCACCAGCATGAGTAACTGTGAATTATTTAGTTGTGCAGTAAAACCTCGATAATTTGTACCCGCCGGGAACGCAGCATGATCATAGACGGCAGCGCGCGTTTACAAGTACAAATCTGCATCTCCTGATGTTTGCTATTGCCGCCAATAACCAAGTAGAGTAACACAGCAATTGTTGCCCAAAGTACCCATGAAAAAGTCCTTTCTTCCTTTTTGCCAAAGTGTGGAAAATATACTGAACTGGCATTCCCGCACGATCGTTTTATAGTGCGCAGTGACAAAGCTGCATTTTGAAACTATTTCAGAGTGCGGGATACGCAGTAATTGAGATAACGACAGAATGCACCGCATTCGGAGATACACATGTGCGCTTCTCTACCGCAATCTGATACCAAGAGACAGCTGACAGTTACATTGAAATACGGAGGAGTAGCGTGGAGTCAATCATCTGCTGGTTAGTTGCGTGCAGCGCAGCGCCTATGCTGCCCACGCCATCATTGCTGGGTGGCTCGCTGTAGCGTGCGAGTGGATTTTTCCTGTTAATTGCTCGTCTTCACTACGCTCCAAACTGAACACAGATAAGCAGAGTAGTGAGTTTAATTAGCAGTGGGATGACAAACTTCTGCCAAACAAAGTGCACTGTGAATATCTAGTCGTCATGAAAACAAGAGATACAAAACATTGCTTATCCCTTGTTTTCTCTGAGTTATTTCTCTGTCAGCTGTGATGTTTAATGATGGGAGCACAGACGTGCGCACTCTGCACGCACACAGACATGTTTGGGGGTAGTAATTAAGTCTGGTCAGCTCATTAGTACCAAATGTTTTGTGAAAATCATTGAAATTTTTTTTACCAGAAATAATTTCAAATAACAATGATGTTTAACCCTAAAAAGTTGCTCCAAAACTAACTTGCATTGCTCCGAAACACTCCTTTTGATGCTCCGAACCTGCTCCAATTTTCTGTGCCAAAGCTACTTCGAAACGGCATTATTCCTACTTCCTGAGCTGCTCCAAAGCACTTAAGTTCACTTCCACCCCTGCAAGGAGCAGCCATAGCTAAGTCATCCCCAAAAACGGGGACAGTGCGCGCAGCCGCTGCGTCGAGCTTTGTCACTGCTGGTGTGACGTTGGCACTGCCGCGCATGCCGTTGCACTGCAGCCGCTGTGACATAGCTAACATAGCCAGGCTGCAGCAGGTCTGGCATCAGCACTGTCACTTAGCAACCATGTATACATCATAGCTCCTAAAAGTGTAGGTGTCCCCAGTCATGTTAAAGCACTTTTCATAGCTGTAGCTCGACCAAAAAGAAAGCTACTTACCGTGAGTCTTGGCGTGCTGCGAATCGAGAGCGAGACTTTCAACTGTGATTTGTTCTTGCCTACGTAACCCATGGAACGGCCATGAAGCGACAAGGACAAGCAGACCCAGACTATACTCAACAAGAGCACGAGGCGAACGCAGCAAGGAAGCAAGCTATGCAAAGGAGGTTCCAGGCGTGGCATGAGTCTAGTATGAGTAACGGAAGCATCAACCAAGAAGCCCTTGTAGCTAGAGAGAGGAGGAGAGACGCGAGACGACCTCGAAGGCGGCCGACGGGGCCGTGCCGATTTTGCCACTTTATTTCAGGCCTTAAATGGAGCCGTGGCGGCTGCCAGCATCCGACACACCAGGCCCGTGAGCTCGTTCTGTTTTCGCGCAGCTCATGCATAGCTAGAGCTGCGCGAGAGGCGCGGTGCGGTGGCCAAGAAAATGATGATGATGATCATGCACTACACCCTTAAGATCGACCAGTTTCACTCTTTAAGCTTTTCATGGCTGGCGTAAACTTCTCAAATTTTTTTCAGACCCAACATGCATATTGCAGTGTAGGGGATGCCTGCCATGCGGCTGCCATTTTGCGTGTAGGCATTGCGTGCTGTAAGTGATGTCTTTACCTGAATGAAGTTTTGAGTGTGCATATGGTTGAAATTTTTGAAATCTTACAATCGTAATACCTTAGCCTAAATAAAGGCCAGTTTAGCTCACGTCCATCCAGTATGAAGTGGCACCACTGCCTCTTATGTGCAGCATTGTCTATTTTTTTTGAGTAACATAATGCGGAAGGGAATCGGAGTGCAGGGAACCTAAGCCATACATACGTGTGACTACATACATGTGACTACGCTCACATGTCCATTATAAAAGGCTGTTTAAATAGCCCATATTATCATAAACACCAAAAGAGCCCATACAAGTCACTGACAGTTTGCAAAACTTCCATTCTAATTCCCAGTCTTTTGTTGCATACTTGAATTGCGAAAGTGGTCAGCACGTTCACAAATTGCACGATGACAGGTCTGCAGTGCAGCTGCCACGTGGGTTTAGTTTCTCGCTGGTCACAGATTAGAGCTCAGTGCAGTGGAAAATTATTTTTCTCTTCAAGAGGGAGGTGGTACTCGAAAAAAGGCATAAAATATAGTTCTTATGGACACACTTTTTCTGCCTTTGTTCTATGGTTGTCAACCATTAATGGCTCATATTGCTTCACATTAACTGTAAAATGCAAATAACAAGAAAATTTGTTCAAGGTATTTGGATTTACAGGAAAAAGTGTAATGTAAGAAGTCTTTGACGGCTCAGCCCATACTAATTGCTTACTTTAGGTTTATAATAATTATGGTTTGATATCTGTTTGAAATGAGGTAATTGCTCACTTCGCATGTTAAGGAATATGTGGGAAAAATTTAATCATGATCTGGCCATCAGAAGTGCCAAAATATGATGTTGTCCACAATTGCATATTGAGAAAAATGCATTTGAAACACGAAAATGAAAGCTCATACATGTTACAAAGATATGCTTTTTTAAGATGATTTCTTCCATCATGAGAGCTTGGGAATTAGGGTCATTTCGAGCATGTGGCTTTGGCGAACTCCTCGTGGGAAATTCAATGATAAGCAGCCAAGTGGCAATTCGCTGGGGACTCTAGATAATCAGCTCTTTATAGTTTTCAATAGCCATGTTGTGCTCTTTGAAGTCAGTCTTAACCTTTGTCAAGCTTAATTACAGCCTTGATTTTTTTTTTGTCACAAAAGTTAAGAAAACTAAACTTGTGAAAGCAAGTAAAAATAGTGCGTAATTTTGGGAAAGATGCATATTTTGAGTGGCATCCCGTTTAATGCAAAAAGCAAACGGTGTGCAGTCGAGTTCTTGTCAAACCCTAGGATTCTGTAGAACCCGAAGGTGTGGTAGTACACTGGGGAGTCTGTAGCTGTTCTTACACCACCTCCCATTGGGAAGGAATGATGTTTTGACGCTTGTCACTCACAGAGAGTGTACTAATGATCCACTGCAGTGCAATTATTTCATCTTGCAGTGAAGCCAGCTTATGACACTATTTTGTGTGAACAGGCCGGGAACAGTCTCACTGATGGCTGCTCTAACGCAAACGAGTAGGCGAGACCAGTTATTACATATTAGTACTCCCAACTGTAAGTTTACTCAATAGCATTAAAAAACCCATATTACAGAAATTTCGATGTTGTGTCGGCATGCAAGAGTTGGGCAAAACATGGGCATTGTCTGTGAGTGAAAAATCTTGTTCAATACAAAGAATAAAAATGAGGGGTTTAAGCCAAAATTGAACCCAAGCTGGGCCAGTCAGTTGTTCTACAGTGTAGCCATGCTTTTGCCTTCAAAAATAAAGCCCCAAAAGGCAAGTGCGTTCTCGGAGTATGTTCCTGATCCCCAATTAGAGACAGTTGTAGAAATAAGGCCAAGTGGAATCAATCTGCACATAGCTGTTGTGCTTTGTTTTGGGAATTTGAAGGCAAAGCCCAATCTGGGATGGATGCCCTGCTGTGACTGCATGCCTGCCTGTGTGGTGCAGGTCTGGAGCTGGCCAGTCAGGAGCAGCTGGTGCCTTTCCTTGTGTGCCCGACTCTTACGAACGAGGCCCTCGGCGAGCTGTGGAAGCTGCAAGCGGTCCTGGACATGATTATGCTGTGCAAGACCTACCTGCACCTCCCCATTCACTACCTGAGCGGGTATACCAGGTACGCAGTACGACACTCCTTCTGGCGGTTGGTTCACTTTTCGACAACTTCCTCTTCTCTTCTCAGCCCATCGAAGCCAATGAGTGCAACCTTGATTTGTTGGCATCAGTCAAGCTGCTGTGCGCCAGGTTCTCTTTGTGGAGTTTCACCACGGGGAACACCGCGCTCTTGGAGTCAACGGACACAGTAGTCAAGGTCGGAATGAACCAAACAACACACGTTTATTTAACTGCTTTTAGATTGACGATATCGGCTTGCTGCCAGGCGTCACTGCCAGCACCACCGTTATAACCATGATGATGATGGTGGTGATAGACGCTCACGAGCACAACGCCACCTGCCGCTTGATAATTGCGACCCCTAACTATAGCTTCTGCACGAGACACGTGCGCCATGAAGCGCAAAGAACTTTACAGGGGGTGTTAGTACCTCCACATTTCGGAGATTGGCCATACTTCGGCATAGCCGTCGTGCTCTTTATGCTGCTTGGATATTGCAGCTGCAGCAGGGTGCAGCCATTTGGTGACCTGGCGCTCTTGAGATGCTGAAGGCTATGAGACATACTCACTCCGCCTTTGGCCCCCCGTGTCATCCCTGTAGGTTCCAGTACGCTTGTTGGGATCAGAGGAAGCACATGAGACAAATTTTTGTAACCCTTCTAATACCAGACAGACTCGAGAAATTGTTGCAGCAAAATACTGCAACACAATAAACTGCAGTATGGTAGGTCAGTTATTAACTGGTAATGTGTTCTAGGTTTCCATTAACAGACTGGAAACTGTCTGTAATGGATTATAGAGGAAGACACTTGCAGGCAATGGTCTAGGCTGTGAGCAGGGTATGTAATGCACATGAAGTGCAATTTGTTCGCTAGAAAGAAGGATCAGCTGAGGTTTTCAAAACTCGGTTGATAGTGTCGGGGAACCAGTTGGTGCAGTCAGACTAGAAAACTCACTATGTGTTCACCCAAGACGACTCGAATGAGAAAGCTACCTTCTTTTTCTTCTCAGTCAGTGTATAAGGAAGCAAGGAACACGAGCCATGGCTGCACAGGCCACTGCCAATCGCAGTCTTCATTTTTTTCACAGCATCGTGCGGCATTACATCGCGTGACTTCACGTCAATATGTATGACGTCATCATGGCACCATACACTCTTGCGATCTGTGATATCAATGGTGGCTTCATCACGTGCTGGCTTTTGGCAACACTAGTCCTCGACGCCACGAGACTGTCTCTGGCAATGGTTGAATTTCCCGTTTTATGGGGCATCTGAAGCTTTTGCTTTATTTATTAATGTGCGCACATAGGATGGGGCCGGCTGACACAATGTATAGGTAACTGAAAAGCACTGGAAGAAGCCCTGATATTGCAAGGGGTATAACATAGGCTGACGATAAGAGAGAAAGTTTGTTGTTCATCGAAAGTATCATGAAGTCAAGAAAATTCATGACAATCATGTTTAAGGTACTGCACGTTTCCATAATGTTTCTAAGAGGAGGTGACATTGAAAAAGCCATCTTTCTTTTGTGGCATCATTGTGTGAAGCTTAGAGATGCAAAATTTCCGTAAATTTTGAGTGATCGAAAAAAACCTGTTTTTTTTGTGTTTTTTAAATAAAGTCTGGAAAAAATGGAAAAGAACAAATTTCTTTCAACATATAATAATGGTTTATTGCCACATGAAAATAGTTTATTGCCAAGTGTCAAAATCAATAACTTTCATTATCTAAAGGAAAAAATGAAATGATTTTTGTTCTTTTTATAAATGAATACGACATTTACAAATTCAAAGCAGGCCAGAAGCATCACCGCGAACTCATTTAGCTCTTTGTGAATAAGTGCTGCTTTCAAGAATTATTACTGCAGTTAAAACAAAGAGTCCAGAAATGTCTATTTTGTCATGGCTTTAACTACGCAAACATTAATGAGGGTGGTAAAATATCACGTTCCAACTATTATTCATATTCAGTATCACTGGCTTCATCTGTATCTTTCTTCATCATGTTAAGATGTCGCATTGGAAGAAGTGTAGCTGTTGTGGCAGTGCTTACAGACAGCGAGTCTTCGTTTTTCGCGAACGATCTCTCAATGGCGAAGTGCATCCACAGGTTGGAAACTGGCACAACCAATGCAGAATTTGCTTGCACACAGCTTTATAAGCGGGCTTCCACCACGGGTCACAGAAGTATACAACGTCAAGTCAAAATTGAACAATAACAGGCACCGAAACATCAGAAATTGCCCCGGAAATGACAACACCCGAACGACAAAGCTAAGCTGATGCTGGAGCTGGCTTTATGTGATGTCAATGGCGAGTAGTCAGCCATCGTTTGGTGTTTTGGTATCATGTGCGATGTTTTGTGTGTTACGTTTTTTGTGTATCATGTGTGTTACGTTCAGGGCTAGGTGTTGTCTATACTTTATTTCTGTACGATTTACCTCATGGAAGTTTTCGCCAATTTTTTCGTGTCGAAAAAAAAATTTTTTTTTCGGAATTTTTATGTTTTCTTTCACACTTTGCATCTCTAGACTGATGCTAGCAGCCCTTGAAGAACATTCTTCATTTTATGCTTTTCATTTTGATTCTATTTCAGGGAAGCCCTGAAATACTTCAGTAACTGTGAACGTGGCAAGTACATCCACAAGTTCAGGTTCCCCCTGAAGGTTCCCCTTGTTCGTGTGGTGCTAGAAAAGTGAGTATCACATTCTAGATAAGCGAGGAATTTCAGCTTAAAATTGCTTTATTTCTTATTTTTGTATTTGCAGTACTTATGCATTTATGTTAGATTTATACTTCTTGTGGTAGAATGTTTTCTGCATAGTTTAGTGTCTGTCTAACAGCATTGGGCAGCCTTGCATGATAGTGGTAGCAAGGCTGCAAGCAACAGACATAGAGGTAACATGTTTATTGACCGAGCATGGGAAGCAATTACTGCATTCTGGTTATGCAGTGGTGTGTGGCACTTCTAAACTCCTGCTTCCCTATTACTTTTATGGCATGCGTGTAGCCACTCCCAAGAGGCATTTCAATGCCTTTATTGCTGCTGGTGTCACACTTCTTTCTGCTGCTGCAATAAACTGATGTGTTTTAATTGTCATTCTTAATCAATAGCATGAACTAAAAAAAAAGGTGTACTATTCTTTATAAGTTTCATACTCTGAAAAAAATCATATAACAGCTGACACATGAGAAAGTAAAATTGCTTTTTCATGCATGGCACTCATTTCTTATATAAAAATATGTACATGTATATAATATGATACATATATAAAAATAAAGGCACTGTGAGAGAGGTAGTAGACTATATGATGCACCATCGGCCCCATTCACTTGAAGCCCACCTCTGGCGATCTCCTGACTTTGTCAAGGCAATGGCAACTTTATGTCTCCGAGATGTGTGTGTTTATTCCTGATAACTAGGCTTGTGCGAATAGGGCAGTGTGGGTTCGAAGCGAACAGTGATGTTAGTCGAATCATTTAGAATCGAATTCAAATAGCGTGTATACCATATTTACTCGCGTAATTCTTGCACTCGCATAATTTTGGCACCCCTCGCATTGCCCAGCAACAATAGGATTTTTTTCTGCGAGTAATTATCATGACCCCGAAAATTGCAGCAGTAATGTCATCTGCTCGTTCCAACAACTGATGACGATAGTGCACGACAGCCTGGCATCATCTCTTAAAAGGGGCCCTGTAACACTTTTTGATCATGATCAAAAACGCTGCCGATCGGTAGTAGAGACTCCGGAAAACGCGCAAGCCAAATATTATAGCACAGCACGAGCCTGGAATTCACAATAAATGATCAAAGTCAGCTAAAAATTGCTTTCTCTTCTCTCGACAAATCACGTTATATGCCCAAAAATCACACGTCAACGACCCATCTATCAGCCATTGGCTGATTTGAACATGGTGCACTTGCTCGTTACAGAGATGGCCGCGGGAGGCCGCTACTTGTCTACGCGTGCGCGCGCGATCACACTGAAGAAGTTGCGCATTCAGGAAAAAAAGAAAAGAAAAAAGGGCTCAGGGTCACGAAGCGTGAGTGACGTCTTTCTCGGCCCTGCCATCCTTCCGTGCTTAGCTTCCAGCGTTTTTGGCCGGATGAGAGAAAAGAGAATGCAATTGCAGCGTGCGACAAAACCTTTGTAACTCTATTCGCACTGGACGGATTCTTAAAATTTTTGTGGCATTTAATTCGTGCGGCAATAAGCTCTTCCAGGGAATTCATTCCATGGTTACCTGAAAAAGTGTTTTAGGGCCCTTTTAAGCACCATGGGTTTTGTCACAGCCTCCTAAGTTTTTATTGCCTGCCATATTATTGGCGATCATGTGTGAAACAGCCGTCGTCGGAACTATGGTGGTGGCACGGCTTACGTAGGGTTGTCCTAAAAAAAGTTCTGTTTTCGGATCTCACTTGCAACAAAGAGTGACCTAAAGGTACTAAAACTGCGTAAATGTATTTATTTGGTACTGTACTATCAATTTAGCAGTTTGAACGGGTCGTTGGCAGCGTTCGCACAGCGCCTTGACCCTTTACTGCCGGATGTCGCGAATTCGCGACATACAGAAAAATTTCCAGCATGTAAGTCACGAAATTCGTTCCACCTTTACTTTCGGCTATCAAGTACTCACGAGGCATGTAGCTTTCAGAATGAAAACTTTAGCACTGTCTCGTCAAAGGTACTACAGTGAAACCTCTTTAAACCGTAGTTGGCCGGAGCTCGGAAAAAGTACGTACTAAACGATAGTACTGCTTAACCCAAATAGCGTGAGGTCGCTCACTTACCTGTCAAAAAAAGAAACCTTCAGGGAGTGCGATGAAAAAACAAAAAACGTGCAGTAATTTATTAACTTCGCGTGACAATGTCTGTAATCTTCATTTGACGCGGCAACCTAGCAGCAACGAGAGCGGCCTCAAACTCACTTATGCTGTGAGCCAGCTTTTCCGCCAGCCCCCTCTTCTCGGCAAATACCCGCATGACGCTGACGCAATGCGCAGCTTTGGCCACTGTTGGACCTGGATCACCCGTATGGTCGCTTTCCATGTCGTCCTCATCACTATCATTTGGCGACACTTCGACAACCGAGGCAACATTGGCTTCGTCGGACATGTCCGGAGATGTCTGCACATCGCTGTCTGAGTCTTTGAAGTCGGGAAGGAAATGCCTTCCGTAACGCCCTGCCGCTCCAGCACTTCAGCTAGCAGAGTTTTGCAAGCTTCGTGTACGATGTCCGAAGTCTGGTCGATGGTGTCACTGGCGTCATCTGCGTCGCCCGCACACACACTGAAGCCAGCACGATTGAAGCAATTTTGAACTGTTGTTGCTTCAACCTGCCGCCACGAGTATTCGAGCAGGTGAATCGCGCCAATCAGGTCGATGGAGAATAATTTGCCACATTCAATGGCGAGGAGAAATCTGCGCAGCGGATTCTTCTTGTAGAGCTGTTTTACAGCTCGAATGATGCCTTGGTCCAAGGGCTGAGCAATCGCTGTTGTGTTTGGTGGCAGAAACGCCAACTTCACAGCCGTCGGGTTGTCCAGGGTGACATGCGCCGAAGCGTTGTCTAAAATAATAACAACTTTTCTGTTCTTAGCCGCAAAACGACGATCGATGAGGCGCACATACTCCTCAAAGAGTTTTGCCGTCATCCATGCTTTGGTGTTGCTGCGATAGATGACCCCTGATGGCAACCGGGCGCCTTTGAAACATCTAGGCTTCGCCGAGTTTCCAATCACAAGGAGTGGAGTTTTGTCGGTTCCAGTCATGTTTACGTAAAACGCTACTGATATTCTGTCTTTTGCATACTTGCCGCCGATGCACGTCTCGCCTTTGAACGCGCGCGTTTTGTCTGGTAGCAGCTTAAATAATAGCGCCGATTCTTCCATATTAAAGATGTCATCAGGTGCGTAGTCTTCCAAGATGTTCTTCAGCTAACCATTTTGCCACTGTTCCGCGCCATCCACGTCAGCAGCAGCACCTTCTCCCGAAACAGTCCTCGTGGTAATGCCGTGCCTCGCCTTAAATCTGGCCAGCCAGCCATTGCTGCACATGAAGTTGTCATGGTTGAGCTGCAAGGCAAAAACCAGGGCCTTCTCCACAAGCAGGGGTCCGCTGATAGGCAGATTTTTTGACCGTGCAGCTTTTAGCCACTTCACCAGCGCCTCCTCTACATCCGAAAACGCCGAACCGCGTAGCCGGCACCTTTTCGCAGTTGCAGCAGCACTGCCGAGCAACTTCTCTCTGGAATTCCAAATTCCACACACCATGGTTAACGGCAGGTCCTTTTCGCGTGCCAGCGCAGATTTTTTCGTGCCACTTTCAATAGCACGAATTATGTCCAATTTCTACTCTATTTTCAGCACACGATACTTTGTCCCAGCTTCGGCATGACACAAGTACGAAGCAGCACAAGCACACATACACAACACGTGAAAAATGACGCAAGAGCTGTACGGCACGGATCAACCAGAGAACACCTATGCACGGCGCCAAAGGAACAAAGAAAGCAAAGCAAGCGCACACCGTGTTTGCGTGTTTGTGCAAAGCGCCATCGCGTGGACAACACCAGAAGCCTACCCGGCCGAGTGCTTCTTGTTGCAGAAAAATCCAAGAGATGGCGCTCATCAACACAGCCGCCATAATCATCAACACAAACAAGCGAGGCGTGTTTCGATCTCTGGGGCTTGCTGTTCTGTCGGGACGCCCAGTGGGGGACGACATGCTGCAGCGAGTGCACAACGAAAATTGGAAAAACTGCTTATTAACCGATACATATGCGATAAGCTGGTGCGGCTTATGCGGATACAAAATGCATTATGTTCAATGGCCGCCAAGTGGGGGATTTGACTTCACTACTTTTAAAATGAAACTACTGTTTACGTGGGTACAGTTTAACGAGGTTTCACTGTATAAGCTAGAACCAATCGTTTTGGAACTGATGGCGGAAAGCACTAAGCGCGTGCAACAGCTCTCACTTCTTCGTTTTTTCTCACCTGGGTGCCATAAGTTCTATCTTCAATATTTTTGTTTGTTTGATGTGTATGCACTCAAGAGGTGGCACACAACATGTTACATAGTTTCGAAATGCGTTTCTTCTTGCAAGGTCCTCGCTTCTGCGGCATAAGAAGAATTCACGACCTACACAAAAGTATGCATTGAAGTTGCAATTTAGATAATTTTACTGCGGCATCATTTAGAAGTTGCTATTTAAATCTGCTAAATTAGAACAATTTTTATTTAGCTCGGCAGTTTCATAACTTAGGCATTAAAGCATTATAATCCCTAAATATCCTTGATATTGACAATAGAAGTTCAAGGGCCCTCGAAAGTCTTTGTAATCATAAAAAAATTGCGTGGAATTTGTCCTTCTAGAGGAACTTAATGGCGTACCTCTGTAAGTTACACTCATTTCAAAGTCCCTTTCATTTACGAATGACCATGAAAACAAGCTGTGTTGGCTAATGGCGTCAGGGAGTTTCAGTTTTAAATCGCACAGCCGTTACAGTGTTTGGCAACTAATATTGATTGGAGATGGAATCCAATTTAAGGCACATTGCTCGGTCGGTTACAGTCCCCGTGCTACCGTGCTATCACTCTCCGTGCTACGGCAGCACCTGCGCTCAGCACATTAGTGGGTAGTCCTTTGTACATCGGGCCTGTGTCCGCCATTTATCACGGTGCGTTG